GTGAAAGTTGTTCCTTTCGAGGTATGTACCAAGTTGGCATAGGAAATAAGAGGCGTAGGTGTGAATTTCTTGTTTTTTTTTGGTCAAAAGAATTCATTTGGTGTGCTTATTTTGTCTTAATTTGAGGTGGATGTGTTTATTTTGTGATTCTTCGTGAACCTTAAAAATGTTATTAAATTTGTGTGCATTGGTTGATTTGAGCTAAGAGTTTTGTTCTTTTTCGTTCAATTTGTTTGATAAAGGTAGTGAAATTTGACACTTTGTTTGAATTGGTAAGTGAATTATATTGAAGAAAAGGTTAAACATACGCTGATTCTGTTAAAAAGTGTATAATTAGGTTGTGATTCATGTTGAGAACGATATCGTGTTTTGAATTCAAGAACGGTAAAAGACAGAGTTGAAATCGGTGATGATCTAGGCTTTTGATCTCTGCTGGTGGTTGCAAATCTTTTTTTTCCCCATGAGTTTCTTATCTGTGCTGCTTTGTTTTGGTACTTGGTACTGGAATAATGAGGGTAGTTTTGAGGGACGATGTTAAATTTCGTGTCCAAACTGTGACATTGTGAGTGTGGAATAGGTTGTCTTTAGTATTAGAATAGATAAGATGGTGCTCGACATGCGTTCAAGTGCTCTTTTGTTGATCAAATTTTCCCATGGTGCCTGCTTCTGCTCTGTGAGTCAGGTTTTAGACCTTTAATCTGTATAAGCCAGCAAGAATGATAGATTACAGAAGATTCATTAATCTTGTGGAAGACTAAACTAGTTATTTGGATGAGGGGGAAACGGACTGGCTTAACCCAGGATGCTTTTGTCTTTGAAGAAACTCTCATGAACTTTACATGAAGTAGGCTGAGCTATAGAAATGTCAAGCATTGGAAACATACCATTTTATTTCATAAAGACATTTAGAAGTAAATATCGTTTGCTACTTAAAGAATTTGGTTCCTTACACCTATTTAGTTCCCCAGCTCAGAAAGTTCTCGGCAAAACTGTTTTGATTAGTTGAAGCTAGTTTATGGTGTGTTGATTATCTGATCAGCATATTCAAGCTAGTACATAATGTGGCATGTTGACTGTGATTGTCCCTCATACTCTCACAGGTCTTAGAAATCAGGATCCTCACGGTAGGTGGAATTTTTTTTGCTTCAACTCCAAGGGGTATTCTGGATTTTCAGAACTTTTGAGTTGTTTTGGTTAGTTCAATTGATTGTATTATCTTGAATTAAAAAAAGTTCAATGGAATGTATTATTCTCCTTAACACATTCTGGTTCTTCTAGAATCTGCATGAGATGGACCTTTGGTTAGCACATTCACATATAGTAAACATCTCTAGCCAATCATATGTCCCCATACCATTTTTATGTTCAAATCATTGAACTAAATGTATTCCATCCTTAAATACTTCCTAGATCGGAGTCTTCTCTGGGATAGACAAACCCCAGCCATTGTCTTGGAGCAGCTTGCAGTGACTATAGATCTTATAGATATGAATTTGGCCAATGAAGACTCCTCTGCTAATAGGAAAACCTTTGAGGTTCCTTCTCCAAAAAAAAAAAAAAAAAAAAAAAAAAAAAAAAAAAAAAAAAAAATAATATTCTTTTTTGATAAAAAAAAAGCCTTTGAGGTAATTGCATATCAGTTTTCGTGTTATGGCCTTTTCAGTTGTGTATTTTCTGAAGAAGAATACTTGGTGAACTGCCTAGGGTAGTTAGGAATTTTAGTGATCTACTCTGGTCATCGAGAACCCAATGTCCAGCAGCCAATGTCCAAGGCCATACCTTAACTGCATTCTCGTGTCCAATCTGAAATTTTATTCTCACTCAAGTGGTATTCTAGCGGAGATATTGAATAAGGAATAGGAGAAGGGTCGAAGACTTGAACATGGAGACACCATAGAGGCATAGACCAGATAAGTTCCAGAGAAGAGTTGGATTGCAAGAATTGGATAGACTCATAGCCAAGCAAGTAAGCCCTTTTCTCTAGCATGAGTATTATGACTTTCTCTAGTGAAACATAAAGACTGTTTGGTGCTCCAAGGGCTATGAAACTTAGTGAGTATGAGAGTATTATTAGGTTCCTAGAATCAGTAGAAAATAAATACTCCTAATAAATGCCTACCTTTTGTTGTCTGTTTTAACATTTGTTTGTTTTCTTTTTTGGGGGGAGTGGGTAGGTGGCACTATTTTAAAATCTTCTACTGTGAAAGATTATGATTATCGTCCAGGAAGAAGTCTACTGACACTGAAACCAATAACTTCAAGACTGTGACATCGAAAACTGGAATAAAATTAGTGAATTGATGATAATCTCCTCCTAATGCAAAAGATAATCTCCCAGCATAGTGTCGTACTTCCCTATGTCAAAGTTAGCTTTTAGCCAGGATCAATTTTCTTTAGCTAATTTGTGATGCATTTACTGCCTTCGACTCAATTATTTTGTCCTGTCTAGACTATGCTTTTCTTTAAATCCTTGTTCATCTGTAGTTTATGTCTATTTAGCAAGAATAGCCAGCAGCCAACGTCCCATCCTCCTCCTTCTCAAGGCCCTAAAATTATGGAAATCCTGAATGGTATGAGCACATTTGGATATTTTTCCATGTAAAATGACCATCTAGGCACTGGAATCTTACTTTTCTAAGTTAGAAGTTATATATTGGTGAGGACAAACCCTGAAGAAGTATTTCTTGACTTTTCCAGAAACAGCCTCCTTTTTTCTTTTCCATTCTTAGTGCTTAGGAACTAGTTGAAATCTTTATATAGTCCCTCCAGGGACATCCAATTAACGACACAGAGAACATTATCATAATAAATCCTTAACGAGAACCATTATGCAGATTCTGGCTATATTTGGCAAATGGTATAATGAAGGACTGCAGGCTTTAGATCCGAGGTCAGTGTGAACCCCTATATGTGCCTCAGTCTAGATGAGCCAAAGATATGGCTGCATTCGTGGAAGCTAAACTGGGAAAGTGGGTGACTTAGGATTTTATAATAGGAAGCAACTGAGCTTCACTTAAGAATTTGTTCTGTTTGATGAGTTATTTTTTGCGATCTCCAAGAGGATTTATCATGCTTCCTTTTTTGTTTGGAGGATTACAAAATTTAATTAGGGATTTATCACGTTCCCTTTTTTATTTTAATTGGAGATGTCATTTATAGTTTGAAGTTGAGTCAAGTCAACAATTCATTTCTCTTACCAGATCTAGGCACATCATTGATGTTATGTTATCCGTCTCCTAGTATCTAGTCCCGAGCATTGGTTAATGGTATGATTGTAGTCCTATTATGGTCTTGTCCAGTTCTCACCTCATCAGCTAGCGTTTGGAGTTGCATCAGGTCTATGGTCCATTTTTTCTTAGCAGCTTAAAGTTAATGAGATCATTAATTAGTTATGGTCTGAGAAATTAGGACCCTGAGCTCTCTGATACAGTGTTTCTTGGAGGGACTTGGAAAACTTGTTTAAACTAGGATGTTCCTAAAACTCCCTTCTATGTATTGGAAGACGTGCTCTCGTAGCTCAGTGGTTCTGAAATCAACGACGACCACAAATTTGCTTAAAATAAGGTTTTGATGATATTTGCATTATTATGTAGGGTAATAAAGGAAGAAAAATATGCTGCTCGCAGGGCTATCTTGCCCATGCTTCAAGCTGAAGAGGATGAAAGGTTAGCTGCTTTAATTATTTTTTTCCCATTTCAGGCTCATGTTTACTTATTCTAGTCTGGCCCTGTTTTTGTTTATGCTATTGCTTTCTTTGCTTATTCAGATTCGTTAAAGAGTGGAAGAAGTATCTTGAAGAAGAGGCGAGAATCATGAAGGATGTTCCCGGTTGGAAAGTTGGTGAAAGTGTTTACAACTCTGGGAAATGGATGCCTCCAGCAACCGGAGAGCTTCGTCCTGATGTCTGGTAATATGTTGGCAGGAGACGACGAAAACTGCATTGTTTCAGTGGAGTTCATACTTTCCTTTGGATTTCTTTCCTCATCGGAATAAAATGTATCTGCAAAATCTGTGCAAATGTTTAGAATGAAGTTACACTATTTGCTTTAACGCGGTTAGCGTTCTCCCTCCTATCTCATGGAAGTTAGGATAATCAGAGACGATGCTAGTTCCATGTTCTCTCAATGTTTCTATATTTTCAGATTTTCTTTTCAGTTACTGGGAAATGTTTCCTTAACCCCTTTTCCAGTTACCCCGAACATAGCAAGAGGCCAAATCTAGCAGTGGCTATTGTTGGATGTTTCTGATATTGAGCTATACTAAAGATTGTTTTCCTAATTACTATTGCTTTGATTTCTTAATTCCTTTTCAACTTTTTAATAGTATCTGCAACCCCTCAATGGTGAAAGCTAATAATTTCAGACTAACACAAAGAAACGATGAATTTCTATTTGTTCACCAAAACAATTAAGATTAATTGAGTTGTTCAAGTATTACTTGAACAAAAGTATAATTGTGGTAACTTATCTGATATCCTCTTTACATAATTAGAAGAAATTTTGATAATCCAAACTAAATAGACCTCCAGATACCCAATTTCAAGGCGATGAAAAAAGTATTAGATACATTTTTATCACTTATGAAAAAATCTTAGAAAGTAGCAACAATTAAAACTTGGAAGACTTAGTAGGCGTTTGGACATAAGAATTGTAAAATTCGAAAAAATGGTGAAAATTATTTTTAAGTGAAAATGATATTTAAAATTTAGAGTTGTGTTTGGACATAAATTTCAGTTTGAGTTGTTTTTTAAATTTTGTGAGTGATTTGAGTAAAAATTTGAAAAACAACTTTTTGCAGTTTTTCAAATTTTCGAAAATTTCCAAAATGCATCTTCAAGTGAAAATTGAAAATTTTGCAGTTTTTCAAATTTTCGAAAATTTTCAAAATGCATGTTAAAGTGAAAATTGAAAATTTTATGAACAAACGTTGATTTCGGAAAAAAACAAAATTTTTTTGGAAAAATCTTCAACCAAATTGTATGTCCAAACGGGCCCTTAATATCAAGAAATTGTAATTAAAAGAAGCCCAAAACTCAACATCATGTCTAAAGAGTACATTGCAAAAGGACTGGTAGTCTTCCATTCACAGCCCTATAATTTCCAAACTGCACCTAAGAAACACAAACTCTATTGAAATTAACACAATACAAAGCAAGCACTTCCATAGTTTTGCTTCAAAAAAGCACATATTATTACATTCAAAAGCAGAGGCTAGTAAAGTAGAAACAAAGGTCCTGTTCCATCTTCTTTGTCAGCATCAGGGATGCTCCTATAGATACGCAAGTTGTTAGAGATTTCCCAGCTCCAATCGTTCTTCCTTGTCACATACATCGGTGGCCAACGGTTAATCCTCACATAGTGTTGTCGTATTTTTCCATCTGCAAGCAAGCTAGTTACTATGGAGTAGCAAGACTCATGACCGCCCCATACCTTGTCATCTGGTTCTGCAGTCTGACTTCCATCTGGAAGGAAATAACGGCGCATGGGAGGTCCTGTCCCGTTCCAGTAGGGGTCGAGCATTCGCCAATATTCCGGGGCTGCCTGAGGAGTCTTTATTAGGTTGCATTTCACATAATGATTATGCTAATGTCCTAACCCTATGACAGGAAACTAGGGAAAGGAAGAGAAGCCCTATGAAACTGACCAGGGACAGTAATAAAGCAGTAGATATTTTTGCGAAGAACAAGCAGTGGAAAGAAATGACTAAAGAAAGTAACCATTTTAATTTCTTACCAACCACTTGCAAAGCTACGCAAAGTGACCGATCCCTCTTGTAATTAAGTTATTGTGCTTGCCACAGAGGAGATCATAAAAAATTGGATGTTTGGACAGCAGTTGCACAGATTTATGTGTTCTCAAGCACGTACAAGTTCTACTAACTCAATTTGGTGCGAGCTGCATCCATGCATGACATATATGGGGTTGGATAATGCCTAGTCATAGAGTTCAAATTAGTAAGTTAATCCAGGTAACACTTAGAAAGGATAAATATGAAATAAGCATTTCAATTCATACCTCGGTGAAATGGAACTCCCACGCATGATCACATAAATCCTCCTTTGTTACTCGCTTCTAAGATACATGATGTATGAAAAAGAAGTTGGTTAATGAACCAAAAAGAATAATAATTAAGAGAATGATTTTGTATATGCTAGTGCTAAAGACCGAGAGAATAGTAATACTCACACGTTCACCATCCATTACCGACAATGAGTAAGCAGCCAACTTTGACAATCCATTCATTTTCGCTACCCGAGGTAAATGTGCTTTGTCATGCCATAATTCATCGCACTACAGAGAGATGCACAAGAAGTCATTGATCTTGCAGAGAATTTGTAATTAAATGTGCACATGACGTGATCTATTCTTAGTCTTAAATAGACATTTTACGAGAGCAGATGGCAAACGATAACATCAATTTACAGAAGATGAACTCCGGATTATTAACATGTAACAGGAGGAACAACAAATACTGAGCAAAGCTTATATCACTTTTCAGGAACTTAGATGGACCCAAGACAAAAAAGGGATCACATTGTTCTAATTCTTCCTAACACAGTAACGTGTCGCAAATGGAAACTCTCCAAACTAAGATTGCTAATCTTCAATCAGTATTCTGGAACAAGGCTCTCAAGGCAATGGGAATTGCAATAACCAATGCCGAGAAGCAAAAGCTGCGCTGGTTAAAACCCGCAACTCAAGTACTACAATTAGTTAAAGCAACTCGAACTCCCCAAAAGGAGAGTAGAAACTCATGGGTAATGAGTCGTGATTTTCTATGAGAACATTTCAGATTTATGTGCTCCATAGCAGACTATAACCCAGTCATGATTGTGACGTACGAAGTAGCTTGCTCGCACTTCAATTGATCGAGTCCAACCCACAAACATAGGTCACAAAAGTAACCCTACCACCAAAGCTGAAGTAGATGAACTCACACCAAGTGTTATAGTTGGGGTTCGAATCTAGGGTCTCAAATTGTTATTCCCATACCTTAACCACTAGATCGTTCTTTTGGGACATCCCGATCATAGTTTTTCAACCCACTAGAGAGAAAGGTACTTCATTTCGGGCTGATTGTTGGCAAAGAGGAACTCAACCCCCCCAACACCTGGTTCATAGCCACATTAATCTTCTCAGCTTTAAGAAGGCCATATACCAAACTAAAACCTTTGCCTTGCTAAGAGCCTAATTAGATTGTATTGGCAGCATATGCTTTATATGATTCGTGATGCAATAAAGCAGATTCCTTTTCAACTTTTTGCCAACTGGCTGATTGAATTTTCGCTAACCTAGGAAAATCCGTCCCCGGTATTGTAATTATCAACCTAGGAGAGCTCAATGTGTATCCTTTACAGAGCTAAATTCCCAGATCAAATGGGCAAGGAGAAGCACCAAGACTATGTTTTTTCATATAATTTTGCACTGTCTTACAAGCAGAGACGGTCAAAAGAAGATTTTAACGTTCTTCATCAATAAAAGAAGATTTAATCTAAAGAAAGCTCTTCAAAAAATCCATGTTGCAGTACCTCATAAAGCAATTAAGAGCAAGAAACAAAAGAGACAATTGATCTTCAACAATTTATCGTCTTCCCAATAAACCAACTAGAAAAATGGCCAGAGGACAACCTACAAACAAAAATTGACCCACCAATAATCCAATTGTTAGCTACTCCTAAAATTGCCAAAATACTAAAAGGTCATACTTTGATATAGCAATTTTTGTAAGACAAATACAATAACAACAACAATAACAACAAACTCAGCATAATCCCACAAGTAGGGTCTGGGCAGGGTAGTGTGAACGCTGACCTTACCCTACCTGGAAAGGTAGAGAAGCTGTTTACGATATACCCTCGACTCAAGATTTTGTAAAACAAGTAGTAAATTAATAAAAGCAACTTTATACCAACCACAGGACACAAAGCATAACAAAATTAGAGAGCTCTTAACCCAGTCTTAAAGCAAAAAATTGCCTAAGTATTGACATGAAATGAACCTAAAAGGTAAATATACTGTTTTCGATAGACCCTCGGCTCAAGATTTTGTAAAACAAGCAGTAAATCAATAAAAGCAACTTTACACCAACCACATGTGTTGTTTACGACAGACTCTCGGCTCAAGATTTTGTAAAACTAGTAGTAAATCAATAAAAAAAACTTTATACCAACCACATGACACAGCATAACCAAAATTAGAGAGCTCTTAACCCAGTCTTGAAGCAAAAAATTGCCTAAGTATTGACATGAAATGAACCTAAAAGGTAGAGATGTTGTTTACGACTCGGCTCAAGATTTTGTAAAACAAGTAGTAAATCAAAAAAAGCAACTTTAACCAACCACAGGACACAAAGCATAACAAAATTAGAGAGCTCTTAAACCAGTCTTACAGCAAAAAATTGCCTAAGTAATTGACATGAAATGAAGCCTAATGTGGTGTAATAAGCATAAGAAAGAAGATAAAGATCAAACCTTTGAGCTCCAAATGTTATCAGAAGAAGCAACAGCACGCCAACCGCGTGACACAAGGAGAGAAAGTGCCACGCTGCGTGCGTCAAGACAGCTCAAAATCATCAACATAATATCTGATCCAAGTAAAATTAGTGGATCTCTCATCAAATTATCACCCTTTTCTTCACTAATTATTCTCTGTTGATTCCTCTTCTTCTCCTTCTTCTTCTTCTTTTTCACTTTCTCTTCAACTCCATCCTCAAAAATTCCACCTTTATCATCAGAAGAGCAAAACCCATCTTCAAAATATTCTTTACTACAGGAGCTTTTGGGTTCTGTCATTTGAAAATATAATGAGTAAAAAGGTGTCTAGAAAATCAAGAATCTTGAGATGAGATGATCACTTTCTTATTGAGGCCTTTTCGTTTGGCCTCTAAATGGGATGACAAAGCGTCGACGGATATGTATACTTTTCTGGGGCGGTGGGTTTGGTATTTGTTTGGGTATTTGTGTTGGGGGTGGGGGAGTTAGTTGTGAAAGAACGCGCCAGTCAACGTTTACGTGTTCCTTTTTTGTTTTTGGGTTAAATCACAAAGACATGAACTATAAAAATTTTATTCTATTCCAAAATTAATATATTTTTTTATATATAAAAATAATTTAATTTTATTTTTTTTTATATTCTAACAAAATAATTTAAAGCCACACATATTTTTATGAATTATTTTAAACTAGAAATTTTAAAAATTAATTTTTTCTTGACTTTCGTATCCAATCAAATAAAATTTCATAATCGGTTTGGATATTTTGAATTTCGATTTTCGGATTTAAGATATTATGATCCAAATAAATTTGGATTGGATCAGATTTTTTAAGTTTAATTTCGAATTAATCGGTTTGGATATTTCAAATTTCGATTTTGAACCTATAGTTGATGTGTTTCTACTTCTTACAAAATTGAACATCCAAATGAAGTATTCATGTTAAATTACCTAAGTAGTTCCTCATCCTTACCGCAATCACACAAATAAAGTATTCATACAAGTAAAGAAATCATTATCAAGGAAATGTAATAACAAGGTTGGTATGAATTAGTAGTAGTAAAATCATGTCCAAATTGAATATATTTTGACAGTAACTGTAACGACCCGACCATTCGTTTTAAAAGTTGTAGCCCTATTTCCCTATTTTGCTGCTCATTCTGTACCTTATAACTGATATATGACTTGCCTGAGTAATTGATTTAGGTCCGATGAGGTTTTGGAATGAATTGGAACATTTAGTTCCAAGTTTTTAAAGCTCAAGTTCAAATAGTGACCGTATGTCGACTTATGTGCAAACGACCTCGGAATAGAATTTTGATGATTCCAACAGCTCCGTATGGTAATTTTTGGACTTAAGAGCGTGTTCAGAATTTTATTTGGAAGTCCGTAGTTAAATTAGGCTTGAAATGGCTAAAATAGGAATTTAAGTTTGGAAGTTTGACCGGGGAGTTGACTTTTTGATATCGGGGTCAGAATCCAGTTCCGAAAATTTTTATAGTTCCGTTATGTCATTTATGACTTGTGTGCAAAATTTGAGGTTAATCGGACTTGATTTGATAGGTTTCGACATCGAATGTAGAAGTTAGAATTTCTAAGTTTTTATTAAGCTTGAATTGGGGTGTGATTTGTGATATTAGCGTTGTTTGATGTGATTTGAGGTTTCAAATAAGTTCGTATGATGTTTTAAGACTTGTTGGTGTATTTGGTTGAGGTCTCGAGGGTCTCGGGTGAGTTTGATGGTTATTGGATCAAAAGTTGGACTTAAACAGCTGTTGCAAAAGCTGCTGCAATTTTCTAATGTCAGAAATCGAGCCCAGGATCGAGGGCAAGGGTCGATGGTCAGGATCGAAACCATGGTCGAGGGCCATGATCGAGGGCCAGGATTGAAGCCATGATCGAGGCCCAGGATCGAGGCAGGATTGAGGGCAGCCTGGGCAGAACTGTAAGTTATAAAGCAGGGGACTTCGTCCCATTTTCCATTTTTGACAAATTGGAGCTTGGGGAGAGGCGATTTTTGGGAGATTTTTTAGAGAAAATATCGGGGTAAGTGTTCTTAACTTAATTTTGGTTAGATTACCCGAATCCATCATTGTTTTTACCATTTAATTAGTGTTTTGAGATTTAAATTTGGAATTTTTTAGAAATCTCATAGAAACGAATTTTTGAGATTTCGGTGTCGATTCAGAGTCGGATTTGAGTGAAACTAGTATGGTTGGACTCGTAATTGAATGTGTTGTCAGATTTTATGAGTTTCGCCGGATTTCGAGACGTGGGTCCCACATGCGATTTTTGAGCTAATTTCGGATTTTATTGAAAAATATAGTATTTTCTTATGAAATTGATTCCTATAATTTTTGTTGGCTGTATCGAATTATTTTGGCTAGATTCGAGCCATTTAGAGTTGGATAATCGAGGAAAAGGCCTACTAGTGAATTAAATTAGAGCAAGTCGAAGTAAGTGACTTGTCTAACCTTGTGTGAGACAAATTTTTCCTAGGATTGGTATTGATGTGATAATTGTAATGTGATGAAAGTCATGTACACGAGGTGACGAGTGTGTACACGGGCTAAATGTGAAAGATTATATTTTAAAATTGTGTAGATCACTGTTGCATATTAATTAAATTATTTTATCTTGTTATATTCTTCATCATTGATTTGATTTATATACTTTAAATTTGCTTGACCTTCTCCTGCTAATTGTTTTTACCTGTTTAGCTGAAACTTGATTTCTTTTATTCTGTGCATTATTTGAAGGTGTAATTTCTTTAATTTAAATATTATTAATATGAAGTGTTTGATATTTTAAATTTGAAATTGAGGCAAAGTATTAAATTTTTTTAAATATTATTTTTGCTGAGTTATTTATTCCCGAATATTTTGTGAGATTTTGTACTCATTGTGATTGAGCCGTGAGCTCCATGTTGTGGAAAATATTGTTGATGTTGTTTATTTTGGCAAATTAAATTATTTTGGCACTTGAGGTGCAAATTATGATATATTGTGATATTGATACGCATGCGGTGGTATAAAGTCTGGATGTTGAAACGCATGCGGTGAGATAAGGGTGGCTTGATACGCGTGGCTAGTAGGGAAACTACTAGAAGTCATGCGGTGTGAGGGTGGCTAAAATGCGGGATGCTATTTCGGAAAAAATATTTTTCTTTAAAATTAAATGTGAAGGCTCCCGCGATGATATAAGAAAATGAGATATTGTGAATTTATTTATGATTTGGGACTACGAGGCGGTACCTCGAGAGTGCCCTTGTTGATATTGATTTATGGCCGTAGTTGCCTTTGATTTTTGTTGTGATTTTCTTAAAGTTGAAAAGAATTCTGTTTTATTTCCACGAAGTATTATTTGCCATTATTTTGCGTAGTTAATTGGTGACATACTATTTACTTGATTCATTTCCATTGTCATTTTATTTTATTATATTGTTAAACATTTCACCTTGTCTTTTATTATTTCAGTAGGGCCTGACCTGACCTCGTCACTACTCTAACAAGGTTAGACTTGGCACTTACTGGGTACCGCTGTGGTGTACTCATACTACGCTTTTGCACATCTTTTTATGCAGATCCAAGTACATCCTATCAGTTCAGAAATCAGTGAGCTACCCGTGTACGGAGACTTCGAGGTATATCTGCCAGCGTCCGCAGACTCCAGAGTCCCTTTCTATCATTATTATGCTGCTTCCTTATTTTTATTTAGACCCTGATATATAGATACATTGAGGATAAATTTTTAGAAGCTTGTGACTTATTTCTACCGGGTTTTAGGAGTTATAATTATGTGAGTTTGCAGATTTATTTATTTCATATTTCCATTGTTATTCCGTATTGATAGACTTACCTAGTCTTAGAGACTAGGTGCCATCACTACATCCTACAGAGGGAATTTGGGGTCGTGACAATAACTTGATAATTAATACTTAATAAATATATGAGATAATGTCTAATGTGCAAGGTATTGAATTATTCCTAATAGCATATGGATAATGAACTAACATCTAATGGGTAGCATTAAATATAAGTATAATGTATTTAATATTTTTGGATATTCAAAAAATTTAAAGTACTAAATCCAATATCCAATCCAAAATACAAAAAAATTAAAAATTAAATTCGAAATTCAATATGTAATCCGAACGAAAAATTAAAAAATTCGGGTTTCGATTTGAATTTCGAATTTGCCAAAATTATGCCTACCCCTAATTTTTACGCCATTATTATGTGCTAAACGTATAAATATTTACGAGATGTAAAACAAAAAATACACACACAAAAGTATAGTTGAAATAAAATAATAAACGTAACTAAATGAAGTATAACATATAATATGGATATAATGCTTATGTCCATACTTGCTCTTTATGTTCGTCTGTATCTGGTTCAATTTCATGATCTAAGAAAAACAAATATGTTACGTATTTGTTTCACTTAATAAATTCTACTATTTATATCTATATCTATATTTACTCTATATACTATCTAATAAGAGAGCGTTAGCAGACAGCTGAACGACATGGGTGCTTAGGATTTAAGGGGCATTAATGAATTTTTGATTTAATATGTGCTTCCTCCTCGGAGGATCGTAAGCAAGCATGTTTGACCAACAACCGAATACTCTTTTCTGATGTCAGGTGGACAAGTGAAGAAGGTTCATCCCAACTTTATGGCACGTGGCATATGTCAGTTGTGACAATGCTACGGTGAAAGAATCATGGTAACCATTTGAGCTAACGAAATTAGTAATATTATCCGTGAAAGTATTGAATAATATAATAGAGAAGTAAAGATCGTAAATATTGGTACCGTACTTCAAGTAGGCGACGATATTGCTCGTATTCACGATCTTGATGAAGTAATGCCAGGTGAATTAGTCGAATTTGAAGAGGATACAATAGGCATTACTCTAAATTTGGAATCAAATAATGTTGATGTTGTATTAATGGACGATAATTTGTTGATACAAGAAGAAAGTTTTGTAAAAGCAACGGGAAAAATTATTGAGATACCCATGAGTGAGGCTTATTTGGGTCGTAAATGCTCTGACTAAACCTATTGATGGTAGAGGTGAAATTTTAGCTTCTGGATTTTGATTAATCGAATCTGCCGCCCTAGGTATTATTTCATGCCGTTCCGTATATGAGCCTCTTTAAACCGGGCTTGCTGCTATTGATTCGATGATCCCTATAGGATGTGATAGTCCGATCCTTTGTAGGAACTACCCGTAATAACGAACTTACAAAATAAATCTGTTTATCTCGAAGAGATTCGTCATTCGTGACCCTGCTCCACCTTAATTGTTATTTGACACAGCTTGCTTTCCCGAGGAGTCTTCAGCATCCGTGCTTTCGCTTTTTTTCATTACAAAATTTTTAGAGTAAAATGATGTACATTAAAATTAACAAAGTACTCAGTAA